CGCCCCCCGCAGGGACGGGGCCTCCGGCCGCTGGGTGGGCTCTGAGGGTGCAGCCTGCCCCCCGAGCGCAGCACCCCGGGGAAAGGGTAGCTGCTTTGCCCCCCAAATGCCGGGCTCAGGTCTCTCGCAAGGGGTTTCCGGGATCAGTGGTGAAACGGCCTGCATGGAGCTGGGGCCTTCGGCTCGCGGTGAAGATCCGGGGGCGTTCGTGCCTGGCAGAGCGCACTGGTGCCCAGTGCTGTCTCTGGTGGGTTTATGATCCCCCACAATAACTCATCAGCATTTCCGTGAGCATTTCTGTGGGGTTTATGGGCCTGAACAGTGTTGTTCCTTACTAGTGGTGGCCAAGTCTGGAATAGATACGGCAGCAGCTGCAGCCGTTGCTGCGCACACAAAGGAGTGCAGAAGCTGTAAAAATACATGATTAAAGCTTTTTAGTATACTTAGGAGTGGTTACACACAGACGGGGAAAGCAGCTGGGGGCGGCGGCAGGGGGGCTGTCCGGCACAGACAAGGGCTTACAAAGTCCAGCAGAGCTGAACCTGGAACTAAGCTAATAAATACTACCATTCAAGTGCCAGGTTAAAGCCTTGCTTGCTGTTTTTACACCGCAGAGGCCCAGGTCATACAACAGCTTTACAGAAAAGCTCCAAAGCACTACCCATGAGCCCCATCGCTTGGGGTGTGGAGTTAATAACCGCAGCAATTCCATCAGTATTTTGTTTCTTCAGAAACAGATCAGGAGATAAAGGCCTGACCTTTACCCAGTCTAGGTGGGAATAGCGCTGCTCCTTTCTTTAAATGACACTGGAGACCTTTTGACAGAACAGGTCAGCAAAAAGCAAGCTTCCACACGAATATTGCGAGAATGAGGAAAAAGGTGTACAAGCTGTCTCTGAGCTAATGCCAAAAGTGTAATCTGAGTACTATCACACTTGCAGTGGAAGGAAGATTTTTAAGTAAAAAGCAGTGTTTGAAGCTTGTGTAGGAATCCAGTGCTTATAAAAGCTAATTAGGGTGGAATTCCATTCTCAACAACGTATTTTACTCACGTCCAGGTTATAGACTTCGGTCCAGTTTGGGACACATAAAAACATGACAAAGTTTTTGAGAACCTGAAATACTATTCAGACTTAATATTTTCAGCAGAAAGTTTACATCCTGTCAATATAAATTGTAAAGGCAGGGAGAGACAGAGGGGAGTATTTCCGTATTTCAAGTATCAAGAGTTGGTTTGAGAGGAAGCCACAGAGATAACAGTCTGGAGAGTTCGAGACAGCATTTGCATGTTTCTGGGACTGGCATCACCTGACCAAAGAAATCAGTAGCCAAGGTCTCATGCCACTTCACTTGCAATGGGAAGGAAGATATCTCTGGAATTTCTATAATTTTATAGCGTTAACTACAATGTAACACACTGGTGTCAGAACTGAACCGATACGTTTCTGTGAAGCCAAATTCCTCCCAGGCAACATTCATTCCAATGTTTTCTAGCTAACCACACTTCTCACAATGGGCTTCTCTTTTATAAGGTTACTGCTGTCAACAGCTTTTCTCATGAAGTTGAAAATTTCCACTTAAGACAAGCTACCCAAAAGAAGAGCATCCAGGTTTGTAGTCAGTGTTATTTAGTAACAGATACACTACAATTAGTACATAAACTACAGCACTAAATGCACTTCTTTTTCCAATAGTGGCTAGATTCTTATCAATTAGATGGTCTACATCCTCTACGGCGTACGAAAAGGACATGGGTTATTACCACCATTGTTGTTCAAGAGGAGGAAAAAGGACCATTCCCAAAATATGCTGGACAGGTACAAATAAGCTTTTAGTACAAGCTCTTCCTGAACCTCTCTGTAAGATTTTTACCACCAATTCTACAACAAAACATCAAGGGTGGAAGAGGGCAAGAATGCCCCTGTGTATTAGACCTTTTTTTTAAAACTTCCTTTGTTCAAACTGCCCTGTTTAAACAGAATTGGGTGGAATCATGTAGTGGGAGGGGAGATTGCTCCTTTCTTTGGGAAGCTGTTGCCACACTTAGGAAAACGAAGAGACGATGGTGTGGGAGAGGTGAGAGAGTCACTGCACAGAGCTGCGAGCCTGTATATTGTGCAGAGAGAGTGGAGAGTGTAGTGGGCTGGCAGCTGTGTCTCAGAGGTGATGGCAGGGCCTTTCTACGGACAGAGAGGACTGGGAGGAAAGTGTTGCAACCCAGAAAGCTGCTGGGTGGCTGAAAGCAAGCCTGTAGGCAAGGTCCCGTCTCCAAAGACAGAGCGGCCAGGAAGAGAATTGGTCTAAAGTATTTTACCTCTGTTCTGTCTTCCTTACTCACGCTGAATTGTGTTGCTTCTCTTTTCAAAGCTGTTCAATAACAAATCATTTAATGCATCAGTACGATATTTAATCAGTGGACCTGGTGTAGATGAACATCCAGAGATTGGATTGTTTTCTATAGAAGACGATGCAAACGGACATGTGTATGTACATCGTACCATTGACAGAGAAAAGACCCCATCTTTTCAGGTAATCATGCTTTAAAAGAATACCTTCAGCAAATTTTTTCTTTTTCTCATGGCCAAATGCTTCACAGGAATGAGATACGCCAGTAAGAATCTGAAGGGTGTATTTTTGTCCTTCTTATTTTGAACCTCAAAATAAATGCAAAAGTAATCGTCTTAGCAGAAACGAACAGGTAACTTCTGCATCACTATCGATTCTATAACCTTTGTGGCATGTGTAGAGTTCCACAAATATCAGTACACTTCTGTTCTGTTGTATTTTTCATATAACTCAGATCACCGCCTAAAAATGAAAAATTTGTCCTGAAGTTCAAAAGTCCTACAAGTTATAGCTGTAGCAGCCAAAATGCTGGGGTCATAAACCAAAAAACTGCTATCAAGAGAAGAACACGATTTGGAAGCAAAAAGTTATGCATTACAAAAGAAATAGATAACACTAAAGGAGCTGCAAAGCTAGATTAGAATGACTTTACATAAGCATAAGCATACGCTTGTCCTTAAAAAAGCAGAAGAGTGGTCATAAGCAGTAAGTGTAATGAACGAAATGTGCTAATGAGTGCATGAATGACATATGGGACTGTGGGTTTGTTTTTCCTCTTGCAAAAAATCTTCAACTGTCCTCTCCTTATGTCTGTTCTGTGATATACTTGTGTCTCTGCGTATTAATTGTACGCACTTGATATTTACAGTTCTATGTGGCTTTCTGGGCAAGATTTTGCTTTCTGTAATGAAAATATAAGTTTTGGAGAGTCTTCTTTTGTACTTCACTAGACATATTGGTGTTCCAGGGCAGACACTCAGTGCTTGGTTTTAAAACAGAAACAAGTGTAGCAAAGGAGACCTCAGCATTCAGAACTGAATTCCCTGCACATGCATGAGAAGGGAACCAAAAAGTCTCAGAAATGCAGCTAGAGGAAACTGAGCATACTAGTCCAATGAATACCTTAGAATTGGGAAGGAAACGTGAAAAGCTGCTCTCTGCTTAGGTGTCTGCCCCCAAAGATACTTACAAATTTTGTATTAGGCAGTCATTACAAATAATCCAGCTCCAGATACTGATTTTAAGTATCGTTAATGCAAAGGATGACCATTATGAACCTTGGAAGACATATGAAGGGGTCATCCTCTCCAAGGACGACCTTTGGAAAGCGAACTAATGCCTTAGCAAAGCAATTCAAAGACCCAGCCAAATATTACTGAAGTAGCTTCAAAATTAAGCATCTTGTTCCCTTTGGTTCTCTAAATGGGTTACTGTGCTGCTGCTCATTTAGGTACGTTTTGATATCGTGCACAGAAAAAATGCAGAACTATTGGACCGACCTTTATTTTTCAAGATTAAGATTAAAGACATTAATGATAATGCACCTGAGTTTTCCAAGGAAGAATTTAACATTACAATAAGAGAGAACCACAGTAAAGGTAAGTGTAATCCGAACAAGGGATCCTACTGGTCTCTGTACAGGTGATCTCTTTTTAATTCTTTTATCTTTCACTTTCCTTTCTTACTAAATCTGTTCTTCTCCTTTGGTTTTACTTAAGCACTCATGGGTTTAGGGAATGAGGGACTACTTCTTCTTGATTTGTTGTCTGATTAACTTCAATGTATATAAGCATAATGTTAGAGACATTACGGAAAAACTCCAAAGACTTTGCTCCTACCTGCAAACCAAGACTTTAGCAAAATAATCTGAACTGTGGATCTGGAACCTGCTGCACAAGCACACTGCTTCACAGCATATGGTCAGACAAACTGTTTCAGCAACATAAAAGATCCTACAAAGACCTGAGCTAGGTGTGTCACAAAGAACAGACATGTAGACACATGGGAGTGGTGCCAGCTCCTTAAGAGCTGGCTGAGAGTTCGCTTAAATACGAGTGAACATTTTTGATAAAGGAATTCAGGAGTTCAATAACCCTCTCTATTAGTCTACAGTACTTCAGGCAAATTGGCCACTCAAACAAGGTGGAGGCCAGAGTCTTTGCAGAGATAACCACAGCTATGGGAGAAGATGCAGGAGTTCTGAGGACATATGTGTCCAAGAGCTTGCAGCTATGCCCAAAAAGCTCCATGACAACCCTGAACACTTGTATTAATGTCTCAATTCTTTATCCTAGATGAACCAGTTTTCCAAGTTACTGCCTTGGACAAAGATGAAGGAGGCACTGCTAATTCTCAAGTCTCCTATTCTCTAACTATGCAAATGCCCATTCTAGATGGATTCGCATTTGATATTGATCCTGTCACAGGTGTGATACTCCTGTCTGGATGCCTGCATTACGAGGTAATGTAAATATGACAGTTTCTTATCATATAATGCATGATACATATTAACCAGGTACAAGGGGAGGGGGAATCTTAGATCCAGCTTTATAGCTGTGATTTGTTTCTGAACCAAGTTTGGAAATTCCTTTGTTTTTCAGATTGCTAGTTCTTTTAAACTTCTGGTTGAAGCCAGTGACCATGGAGCTCCCAAGCAGTCATCTACTGCAACAGTGAATGTAGCTATTGAAGATGCAAACAACTACCTCCCTGTATTTATCAACGATCATGTGAGAAGAAGCATCATTACTTTACTAAGCCATTCCTAAACACAGTTCAGTCTTTCAAACTGCTGAATACATTCAGTAGGGGAAATAGAAACTCTCAGACTCTTGCAGGATCAGGCCAAAACACATACAAATGAGCTTTATGGATATAATGGCACAGTATTAGAAGAAAGACCTCTTTAAAATGTGGACAGTAAGAGAGTGCTTGACTCCTGGCAGTGATAAACGTTGTTAGATTTCCATGTTCAGTGTTAGAAAGTTTTTGTCTGACAGCATTGTTAGCGTTAACAATGCTGCCAGATTAGCCTATTCCAACACATCTGAGAAGCTGAGGTACTGATTACAGTCTGCTCTCGAAAGATGCTAGTTTTGATTCATGAAGGCCTCAACAGCTCTAGACCTCTCTGCCTACAAACTCAGCACACCTTAAAGAGGCAGTTAGGTGTGCTGGCAATGCTTCTGCTGTCACATCGTGTGATGGGATTGTCTGTGATACTGGCGATGGTGCTTGTAGAGCATGTGCCGTAAGAACAGGAGCAATCAAACTCGCTAGTAGGGAGAGGGCTCTGAGGAGTAAAGAACTCTGAGTGAGTAGACAGCTATACTTGAAGTCAGGTAAAAGCTTATAAATTTTCAGGTTCAGGCCCAATTAATAGGACAGAAAGCCAAAAATAGTTTTTCTGATTTGCATATGGACACATTCAAAGTATAAAGGCTTGTCAAGCTCAGCTATGTGCAAAGATTTGAAGCTGTGAACACAAGGATAGAAGCTGCGTTACAACAGTGGGTACAAAGTAACCTACAAAAGCAAACACTTGCCTGAATGTTACCGTGGGTAGGTTATGGTACGTCTCCTGCCCGCAGAATGGTGTTTGGAAGACTGGAAGGAATAAGGGTAGATAACCCTGTCAAGGCAGGTTTATACAAAAATCTGTGCTTCATCATGATTAACTCCAGGCTAGTAAAAATTCCCATCCTTCTCTCATAGCTGTAATCTGTCTCCTCTGTCTGAGTACATACATTATTCTTTATAGCATGTTTAAACTGTGTAGCAGCTTGATATGCGCACAGTTTAGCATGTGTAACAGGATGCCGGGAGGGGACTGCTCACATGTTAGAAGACAAGAATCTGAATTTTCACAGGATCTCAAACAAAGAGCTTCCTATATGAAGAAAAAAAATATAAATTACATTTTGTTACTATCTCATCTTTTAAGTTGTGTTTCTACCTTAGGTGACTTAATTGGCATTGCTTAGCCTATGAAATGCTGGTTAGGCTAGACTGCACCCTCAAAAATTTAAACCGTTGTGAAGCAATGAACTAAAATCTCATGCATTCCTGACCCTCTAGAAAACAAGTAACATCTGCTGACAAGTTCTGGCCTGAGCTTGCATGCACAAAACTCCTCCACATGGCAGAAAATTGAGGCTTCTTTATCACTGAATGGGGACCCGCGAACCACAATCACAGACCCAGTTCCACATGGCCTGGAGTTGGAGCTCCAACTCAGAAGGTCAAATGCCTGGCTAACAGGCTCCTTCCTCTTGGAGAAAATAAGGATTATTTCTCTCCTTTCCCCTCCCAGTACCGGCTACAGATTTTGGCAGGCCAAGAACATCCAGCTGCATTACGGCTCCAAGTGGAAGATAAAGACTCTCCCAACACTCCAGCTTGGAGAGCAAAATACAATATAACAAAAGGCAATGAGAAGGAACAGTTTGCCATCGTGACTGATCCGGAAACAAACGATGGCATTTTGAGTATCATCAAGGTAATGTTACTGAGCAGACTGGAGAGGATGTAATAGATGAGCTACAACATGGGAATCTGTAGCATGGTCAGTCTGACTGCAAGACTAATAGTTTAGCAGCTTAACTGAGTCTGGCAGCTCACCTCTGGGTCCCAGGTACACAGAGGTGACTGCCACAGCAAAGGTCAAAATGGCTAACGAGGCTTTTGTCTGGGGTTTTCAGCCTCTCAGGTACGAAGAGAACTCTGAAAAGAGACTTGTCATTTCTGTAGAAAATGAAGAACCTTTCTTCTCCTGCAAAAATGGCAAAGTGATGATCTCAAGCACAGAATGCATGAATATAACTGTGAACATCAAGGTCTTACAATCACAACATACTCCTCAGTTTCAGCCTCCTATACTTATCGTCCAAAAAGAAGATCCAATGAAGCCCGGGAGAGTATTTAGAAGATATCCTGCTACATATCCAGATGATGTACCAAGGAAGATAAAGTAAGTGGAGATTCTTCTAAGCGTCAGAATAAAAAATAGGTTAGGAAAACAAAGAGGTTTTCAAGTTTAATTTGGTACCTATGCATATATGTATATACATACACATGTTTATTTAGTCACATGAACGTACATATTAGAGCTGTGCATTTCCTCCTGATAATACAGAACAAGCTATCTGGATGTGCACTAAGACACAGTTTTAAAGGTCCATTACTTAGTCCTTGATTGTTCAACATTTCTGCTGTCTTCCTAGTAAGAGTTTTACCTACAACCAGGTTGCATTATTTGTATGTTAATTTCAAACACAAAATTCTGATGCTATAGAAAGGACTGATGTGTGTTTGGTTCTAAAAATAGTAATCTGATGTGGAAATTAGACATTTTCTTAGCCCCTAAGAACAGATTTGAGAGGTCTATGCAAGGTCTATTAGCACAGTGTGGGGAAATTGTTCTGTTGGCTGTGCTGAAACTTACCACTTGTCATAGAGTCAGTAAGAGTAAGCATCAGGAAATAAGGAAAGAGACTTGAAGAGCTTATAAAGATAAAGAAAGACACAGTAAAAGTTTTCTCTGCTTCAAACTCCATTTAAGAAAACAAAGGCACCTTGTAACTTTTGCCTTTCTTTTCAAGATATGAACTAGCTCATGACCCAGCTAGCTGGGTGAGTGTGGATGAAAATTCTGGAGTTCTTACTGTGGAAAAAGAATTTGATCCAGAATCCCCTTATGTGAACAACAGTGTGTACACCATTATCATTCACGCTACTGATGAAGGTAAGTAGCCACTCAAACAATATTCAAGTAGCACTTGGACTGTTTGAGATGAGGTGCATGTCAAAGGGCTAAAATGATAGCAAGACTAGGCATCCGAATGGAGAATTGTAATGCAGAACACCCTAATGTTCAAAATTTAACTGTGTCATGTGACTGCAAAGATAAAGCAGACAGACACCCTGCCAATGGGTGGGCTTTTGTCAATAACTAGTTATGAATATTTTTGTGTTTCTTTTGCTCCTGTCTAGGTATTCCACCACAGACTGGTACTGGCACCATCCTCCTTTACTTGTCCGACATTAATGATCATATGCCAGCATTAGTGACTCCTTCTTTAGATGTGTGTGACCAAAAAGAAAGGATACCTCTCATTATAAAAGCTAAGTCTGCTCTGGTCCAAGCAAATTCTGATCCATTTACGTTTGAACTGGCTGAGGACTCTGAAGATGTAAAGCATAACTGGAAATTAGGAAGGAATTTTGGTGAGTGCTTCCTTCCATGTTCTTTACTGTCACTTATGTGCCCTCCCACTGTTTTATTGTCTCTTTGTGGTCTGTTACTTGTTAGTCTCGAGGAGACTGAAAAGACAAGGAAGAACGGCTTTCAAAATGTAAAGGGTTGCTGCAATTTGAAAAAAAGTTATATTGTTCTTCATCTCTGTCGGGGTCAGGACCAGTAGAAACGCATTCAAACTGCAGGAAGTGGGATAAAACAGATGAGGAACAGCTTTTGCACTTGATTAACTTCCTGGTGAATTCGAGAGGTTTATCAGTGCAGTTATGCCAGAACAAACTGGGACAGATCCCGACATGCTCAGCAAGATGATAGAGCAGGATGCCATTTTGTCCTATTCACTTTGGTGCATTAAGACTAGAAAAGGATTCGACACTGGGGTGCAAATGAATTTCCCTTGAAATTCAACTGTTGATCATCAACGCAAGGGACTGTAGAATATCAGACTTCTTTCCCTGAGTCTTGAAGTAATTACTCGTCTTCTTTTTAGGGGGGTCGGTTGAGCTTTTAATGTTAAGAAGACTCCCACATGGTAGTTATTTGGTGCCGTTCATTATTCGGGATAGGCAAGGATTTTCTACAAGGCAGAATCAGCACATAAGGCTCTGCCTTTGCCCAGATGGGCATACATGTGAAGATTCACCACTTTCACAAGCATCAGTGAGACTTGGAGGCAGCGCCATTGCAGTAATGATGTCAGCTCTCCTATTATTCCTGGGTAAGTAACCTCCTAACTTGCACATGCCATTTATTTACCATCTGGTCATAAGATCTCACTGCAGTTGCAGTGTATGAACACGTGCTAAGACCTACTAGCCTAATACATTAAGGCAAATGGGAAAGACCATTTGCTTTAATGTTTTAGAGTGTCATCAAGGTGTGACCAGTTCATACTTGTGGCACTTCCATCCATTTGTTCTGGCCTCTTCTCTCTTTAAATTTTGGAAATACTTTAGTTTTGTGACAGAACATATTGCTGTTCCCATCTAGTAACTGGAGAGATTTTTTTTCATTGTTGATAGCCAAGAAAACTTTCAAACTACTGGCCACTACAATGTGTAATGCAGTGGAAGGTGGTATCCAAGGCTGACAACACAGGGTGACAGACCCTGGAAAAATTAGTGCAAACTATCTCCACTCATGGCTGAGATGTGAAAAGGTGTGGACTGTGTATTACAGAGCAGTGAAAAGGGGAAGACAACATGGATGTATGGAATACTTACATGTGTATGAAGAACAATAAATACAAGTGTGTAACCTATGAAAAAAGAAAGTATCTAAATGGAAAAGCCAGAAGTGTAATGCTGACAAGCAGAATTTTTAAGCTTGTTACCTGTGAAAATCATGATTATACTGTAGTTAGAGGACAATTGGCAAATTATTTGTGTCAAGTAGTAAGTGGAACTCTAGTACAAAGTGAATATTCTTGTTCAGATTAGATGAAATTAAAAGACATATAATCATTCTGACATTAGCCAAATGCTGACTGACTGGAAGGAGTAAGAATTTCTCCCATAGGTTATGCTACTAATTGCCTGTTACAGAGCTGTTTCCTTTACAATGTGACTACTGCAGGAGACGTGGCATACTGGACTACTGATTTGTTATCTGAAACAAAAATTAACAGATTATCTGACCACTATGCAGTCCTCAGGCTACTTGCAAGTGATCTATGTAGTATGTGTGCCTGCTCAACGCAGTGTTCTGTGGAGATAACAGCTTGGCTCTCTAAAGCAGGCTAATCACTCCGGGCCAAGCCTTGCATCTGCACAGCTACATTGCTGGAGGTATCAGAGTTAGTTTATTTTGAACTGGCTTGGGTGCCTCACCAGCCCCTTGTATTGGGCCATTCAGATCTAGTTACGCTGTCCATTTCGCTATTTCCTTTCTTGCTTCAACAGTTTCCAGTATTCTACTTTGTCGGTTTTATGCATCAGGATCCAAAGGTAAAGCCAGTCTTCCACCTCAGGGAGGTGAACAGACTTTAATCACTTATAATGAAGAGAGCAGAAAGCCTTTATCTCAGGTAAGCACAAAAGCATGTATTTACCTCACTCCATCAGTGCTGTGTGGTTGAATTTGTGCTAGTCATCCTTTTTCTTATGTTTCCTCTGGTTTTGGCATTGAGCAGAACAAAGCCTCTTTTGTCACTAAGTTTATCTAGGGAGCAGTGTTCTGCATGGACTGGATGATGCTACTTTGGTGACAGGCTCCATTTTCACTCCTACCATTTTTCAGTATCTCCTAGACCTTCACAGGTGCCTCATCCCACTGATTGATAAACCCAAAACATGATGAGGAACATAATCTCTTGTCATACTACACGCACTAGTGTTTTCAACAAGGAGGTAAACGGAAATGAAAAAGCAAAGAGCCTGCAAAAGTGTGATTCTTCACAGTCTAGCTCAGTTTGTTATTAACACCTTCCCTCTCCCTATATGCAGGCTAAGTTGGACACTATAGGTCATGCTGTTCTACTGCCTGTGTCTGCAGAAGTTGGAAAAGTGACTGTCAAGGTAACAGCCAGTGTCCTTATGTCTTACTGTAAATGCTCTTTTTTTATACCGCAGAAACTGTTAATCCTGAGAATGAGATACGGTATTAAGAACAGTAGAAAGAATACTACAACAAAGCTCAATTAGAAAATAAGTGCCATTTGGTGGAGATGCCAACATTATTTTAAATACCAGTGCAAACAGCTTTTTTTGAACAGCTTTCAGTTTGAGATTGGCACTTTTTTTTATTAGTATTTGGTCTAAATATTTGGAAGTGTAATGTCTTCCAAAGTTCTTATCACAGTGTCTGAACTGATACACAGGAATTTTTATTCAGTTCTTGATGTAAATGAAATGGCACCATCATTCTTCAAGTATCAGAAACATATTGGCCAATATCTCTTACTAATTATATTGTAAAAGTGTGAACAGAATTTATGAGTATTGTTCTGACTAGAAGAAGTACGTTTGGCGGTTTGAGGACTTTTAGCAGTACAAAAATCTGCAGAACAAACTTAATTCTCTAACTCATGTAACAGATCTTTATTTTTAATGTAAAAAACGCCTGAAGGAAATTCTGAATCTATATCACTAAGTGACTGCCATGTGTTCTACTCATAAGTATGTAGTGTTTACCAAGAGATTCTAAGAACAATCTCTGTTTTATAGCAGGCAAAAAAACGTAAAGCATATAGTCTTTTTTTACAGATATGAGAACCCAATTCTACAATCCTTAACTCCTTAATTAGGAGTTAGGATTACTGGTGTGAGTTTACATCTTAAAGATGTAATGTTTGGTGCCGTTAATGAAAAAGAATCCAATAAATCTAGGGGAAGAAACGTACTGAATTACTGGAGATTATAAAGAGTGCCTACAGTTTGTGACTCCATATAACGAGTGACTTACAAACTCCAAAGAAGAAACAGTCCCTGATGAGGAAAACCTGCAATGTAACTGGGGAAGACAGCACAAGGGAAATACAGTTGGATGTACCTGTATTGCAAAGAAACGTTAGTAGGGGTCTTTAGGTTTGTCAAACCTTATGTCTGTCTTTCAGGATGGCCTGTACGCTAGATATAATGAGACCTCCCAAGTAAGATACCCTGATCACATCCTACAGACAGTGGGCAAAAAACTTGATCAGGTAAGAAACAGCAGCTATTGAACCTGCCCTGTGTGAAGCTGGCTTATAAGAATAGGAAATAAGAACAAGCAACAAGGCTTATAAAACTGGAAGGTTGCTATCGCTTCAGTTCCTTTTCAGCACACGTCTCAGAAAGAAGTATTGCTATTGTAAGGAAGGAATATATTTGATGGAGGAACGGGCTCTTCCTTTTTGAAGATGCCTTGGCTCCTAGACATCTTTTTGCCTCTGACTGGTCACCCAGAAGTTGAGGGGTCTGTCACATATAAATTTCTTCTTCAAGACTAGTAGACGGGGCTAAAACATTTCCAATTGCAGTGCCAGATTTAAAGATCTAAGTTTAGTTGCCTGCTATTTCACTTCTGCGTCAGCTGGGAAATCCTAGTTTCTCTTACCATACCCTATCAGGCCATTGAAGGTTCACAGGCCTTTCCTTCCTTCGTGATTCCTTGCGTCAGACTATATTTTCAGAACATAATTTGATTCATTTTTCAGGCTCAGGTGCTTTTGCAGCTGAGAGTTTCAATACAACTTTTCCTTATCAGGGAGAGACCCCTCACTGCAGCCTCCTGGCCTACCTGTGTAATTTGCATATTATGAATCCCATTCGTTTTCAGACGGGCAGTAGGTGATTTGTATTGTTTCTTCCTTTCTTTAGAAATTGTATGACCAAAGCAAAATGGAAGATGATGGGCACAGCTACAAACCTTGCAGATATGCTGAAGAAGGAGAACTAGAGCGAAATAGCTCCTCCTACTCTCTCTCTGTTGTCAGTGAGGAATTGCCCAGGGATTTTTTGCAAACTCTGGGGCCAAAGTTTTCTGCTCTGGATGAAATCTGCCAGAAGCCATTTCTGTCATTCAACTAATTTCAAAAGGCCATGACTATTTATGGTGTTACAAAGGCTTTTGGAAGAAGCACTGACAAAATTTTAAGAAAAGAACCATCCACACTTGACAGATTTGCAGTATGTTTGCACCACCAGTACCTGGCCTTTTATTCTTCTTGGCTATAATGTCTGCATGTCAGCAGCCAGGAAAATGACATGTGTATGACCTAGCATGAAAAGGAAAAAAAAAAATCTACCATGCTAGAAATTGAAGCCACAGTTCCATATGGAAATAAGACAACTTTGAAAAGAAAAGGCAATTACTAGCTAGACCAGGGATACAGTCCTTTCTCCAGGAAGTGGATTCTTTACATCCAAGGTGGCTTTCAAACAGATTAGCTGTAGTGCAACCACGCAGATCTGGCTGGCTGATCAGATCTTTTCTTTCCATATAATCTTGACAAATCTAAGAGAAAATGCACTTCTACTCTTAACAAACTCGCAACTTCATAATGTCCCGAGAGGTCGCCCACCATCCCTGCTTTACAGCATAAAATAGGCACCCATGTAGTGCGTGCGCACTTATGCTGGCATCTGGTGGCTGTTAGTATTATTACACTATTGTAAATAACATTAAATTGTCCTAAGGAAATGCATGGGTCTCCTCAGGCGTCATTGACAAAGTAGCTGACATGATAAAGAAAGGATGGTATCAGATTTCTTTATATGGAAACCTCAGATGTGTTACTTTTAAATCGTGTGGTTTGTACATGTCTGCATGTGTGTAATGGCCTATGCTCAGTTATAGCATGATGGCTATCAATGTTACAATACATGAATGAGGAAGGAATAACTCCAGAAGACAGTATTCTGCCATTACATAAGTTTTATAAACAACAAGAGATGGAACTAGTCAGTCTTACTACTATTCTATTTTTGTGCTAAAGAAAAATGTTCCACCTAAGGCCAGCACTAGGTCTGGTATCTAAGGCTCTGTTCTTCTGTTTCAAAGTTTAAACAATAAATTTTACTTTTTCTCAGATATTATTAACTAATAATTCAAGGCTAGAAACTTTCAATCAAGTGTGATTTAAAAATCTGCCTGAATTGCAAGGAGCTAAATTTTTCTAAGTGCCAGCAGCCAGATCTGTTTACACAATAAATCACTACTTTGATAAACTGACCTTAACGTATAATACCAGATGGAAGAGTTTAAATCAGACCAGTGATTTAGCAGCACTGTCAATAACCAAGATGCAAGTTTTATTGCAAATTATAACCATACAGGTAAGATTAGAATTGTGCTGTGTTTTGCTCTTTCCACTGAAAATGATGCCAGATTAAAAATAATAATGAGAGCATTCTGTCTATAGTTCACCACGCTCACAAACACCAAAATCATTAGATGTGACCAGACCCGTTGTTGCCAATGCCAAAAAAATTCTCCCTTAAATGAAAAAAAAGAACTGTTTCAACTAAAAGGAACTGTATAGCAAATGAGAATGGAGGTTCTTACCATCCCATACAATGTGTCCATCCAGGCAGTGACGTTCACTGTTTCAACGTCTTCTATTCAAGGATCTAGAAGACCTTCCTATACAGTAAACTAATGCAGCTTCCCAACATGACTGTGATGTACAGATGTAATGTTTACAATCTCAACAACAGAAATGAAGGCTGAAAGAGCTCCTTGGCTCACCACAGTCACACAGAGAGCTTGCAGCAAGCTAAGGAATGACACTTAGCCATTGTGCTCTCTCTGTCTCTGTGCCTTCCCTTTTACCTCTAACGTTGACCTTTGCAGTGGCTTTTTATGTCACTCCTTTGGACAAGATACGAGGAATATGGACTCTGCTATGGTCCTGTCAAAACAGTGGAAAATCTTTAACACATGCAGTCTCGAAGCAAACAGTGAAGGAAGTCAAGAAATAACTAAAATCTTCAGTTTACAGAAAATGGACTAATGCACAGAAGTTCTTAAGTTAAGTGAAAATGAGGCATGAATCAGAGCATATCTCACCTACATCACACATTTGCATCAATCACACTTTTAACAGCACTGCTGCAAGAAGCTAGTCAATAAATGGTACTTCATCGTGTGAGGCTGAGGGCTACATCTGGAGACAGATATGCAGGCGAGCGTCCGAGGCAGCACCTTTACTTGTGTCAGACAACACACCTTATTGGGAGGATATCCCAGTCAGTCTCTGCTCACTCATAACTGCTTGCTGTTATCCTGTCTCCATCAAGGGTGGCAGCGAACCACCAGACTCCCAGACCCCGAGTGAGCTTTCAGATGCTTGCGTAAGGGTTGACACGAGCTCCTGGCCTGACACGCGCCCTTCTTCTGTCAGCAAAAAGGGGGATGAGCAAACCTGGGCCAAGGGACAGGCCCTTTAGCCAGGGCAGCTTGCCATATTTCCTCTCAAAGCTTCTCTGCTTGTGCCTGGTGGCCCACAGAAGGCAGCTCACAAATTGCCCACATAAGTAACCGCACAGCTATTCCTCAGGGGACAGCACCACAGCGGGCTGGGCTGGCATCAGAGCTGCACTTTATATGTGGAAAAAAGGCACTTTTGTCCTTATCTGCAAGTCCATCTCCACACATGCTGGCTGAGGCCAGCGCTGCTGCACCTTTGGGGAAGGTGTTGGTGACAGGTCTTCACTGCCTGGGAGCATGAAAAAGCTACAGCCCTGCAGCCCTCCTCACCCTGCCTGGTGGCTCTCAGCCCACAAAATGGTGCCAGGCGCACCATGTGCCTTGCTTTTGGCAGCTGCCCTCCCATTGGCCAGGCCCAGCCTCACTGGATGCTGACATGCCCAGTTGCCAGGCGGATTCCAGTTGCCCAGCAACAACTACTGGCAGGTAGCCTTGCGCTGCACAGCACCGTGAGGCCCTGTGGCCGCCTGGGGAGGGAAGGCCGGAGCTGTGCTGGCCCCCGAGATGGCCGAGCTGCGTGGGACAGGCAGCCTTACCTCTCGTGAATGAGATTCCCCCTAGGCACTAGCATTAGCCCTGCAACAGGTGTAAAGTAGCTGCAGCTGTTGCCAATTTAGAGGAAGAAACGCATAGGAGCTTAATCCTCCATCCTCCCTGAACATGCCCCGAGGATTAAAATTAAAGAGCTATATACTATTGATGGCCTAAGCTTATGCTTTACTCGTACATAATGGCAGAGGAAGCGTGTGAAGGCTCTGGTTTGTTCAGGGTCTGCTTTAAACTAAGTACCTTCATGGCTTGCCGTTTTGTAAATGCTGGCGATGGGCTATAGTGTTTCAATTACCTGTTCCCAGCGAGAGGTCTAATCATGATGCCTGTGAATCCCCATTACTTCTGGCCCCCGCTGTGCTCAAGTCAGTGGGAGTCCCAGCAGCACAAATGTTTATCTCCTCACAGTCTTCATCTGTGTCTTTGTTTTGCCTCATTTGTAAAAAATCTTACTTAGAAGTAAATGACACACAATCAGTAAAGGGGAGATTAATCACACTGGGACCAAACTCTGAGTTTTAAAGGAAACAAGAGAGACTGATCATAGGATGGTCCTGTAGGGAGTGGATATCAGCAGGTTAGTAATAAAATCCTTTTGTCTCCGGAAGAAAGCATTTCCCTTGTCTGCTCTGTTTCCTCTGCTCTGCCTGAGCAATGGCAGGTCCCCTAGGATCTCTGTAGGCTGCCACACAAGGAGGAAAAGTTTTAATCAGATCTTTCTGTGCCAGTTTTTAGGGTCATCTTCTCCCTTTTGAAGGACTTGCTTCTCCTGATTAAGATATTACAAGGAGTCATCTAAAGGACAAATAAATGCCAGGAGATTTTTTTTAAGTGAAGGGTAAACCATATGCTGAGTGGGCTATAATAAGTTCCTTCCACCAATGCCTTAGGTGCTGTCGTATTTTACAGTCCTAATAATTAAACGCTTAGTAACAGTGTTGGACTAGTGCTTAAAAAAACAAAAAACCAAAAAAACCGCACACCACATAGGCCAAGATGGGGACTTTTCTCAAGGTTTGCTGGTAGCCAGCAGTGAACAGACTTTGTAGCAATTGTGCTAGTGGCAAAGTTTCTCAGCTCAGTTCAAAAACCATTAGCACCTTTAACGAAACTGAAAATGGGCTTTTTCTTTCTTAGCATGTGCTGGTTGTGAAGACTGAGAATAATGAATTATGGCATTCAAATGTGGTTTTCTAGCTTAACCTATAATTGCATTTAGATGGGAAAACTGGTGACTGGGGAAAAGTGGGGGAAGATGTGCAAAGCATAGGCAAGTGGATGTTGTACTATCACTTCTTTGTGCCATTTCCCTCTTTCACACTCCCATTATTTCGCACTTTTTGAAAGTGATGAGAAGTCTTCAAAATAGAAATACTTAGCTAAGCATATATCAACTGACTGTCTTAGTTTAGTCTCTTGCGTCCTTCAGCAGCAAACGCTTTTGCCCTGGCTGGAAGGCCTTCCTGGATGTGTGGGTCTGACCAGTTCTCAGAGGAGGTGCATCTGGGGCTTCCCTACAGAAATGTTTTTGATCAAGCCGCCTCTTGCTATGCCTGAGTCTAATTTTTGGAACTATTTTTCACACTACCCAATATTAGGAAATCAAGCTCTGAGAGTGGGACAGGAAGATACAACAGTCCCGTGTTGCAATCCTGGCAATGAGGACCTTTGGACAGGAGAAAACAATAAATAACTGACTGCTTTTCTAATCTCCTTTCTCTCCTATGCTGACCCTGTTACTGAAACGTGGCACACTAACCTGGATCTGACTTGGACACTTTCTTGATGTCTAGAATACGATAATTCACAGCGTTTACTGTAATTACTTAATTCTATCCTGAATGCACGTTTCTGAGGGATTGGTGCACTTCTGAGGAAACAGAAGGCACTTGAAAAACTTACTTACACTAATATTTTAGATGCCCATTTTGTTTTTCCTGACACTTCTCGTGGGCTGTGTGGGCTGTGTAGGAGTCCATTTCCAGTTACTCTGTAGGGTATGAAGTGAATGTTGTAGTCACAAAACATGTTTCATCCTGAAGAATATGTTTCTGCATTTCTGCTGCTCTGCCTGTTCCACGTCTTTCCTACAAAGGAAAGACACCCGGGTTTGCAAGGTATCCATTCCTTGCTGCAGCAACTTAAGACATAAATTTGGGGCAGAAAGTGAGGTTAATGAAGCAACAGAAGACACAGGAGGTTCCTTCGGCCTTCTTCCCTCTCCCCTGGAAAGATTTAATTACTCAATGTGAGATTTGGCAAGGGTGGTTAAATGAGTACATAACATACCAAAGCTAAAACTTCCAGAAGCACATACAACATCATGTGTTCTTTGCAGGGCCTTATTCCACCTGCATCAAAATAGTAACTGAGTGTTAAACAGCACAATAACATATTATACAACGTGAGAAACACCTATTCCTTCTTTCTACTTATCCCCAAACCCCCAGTCTTTTGAGAAAATGGAGTTCTCACTAGTAAAATGTAAAACAGTATTTTCCCTCAAAACATCACTGAATATATCAATATTGCTGGGACCACACTTACGAAGATCTTTTTGTAAAATCTATTGATTATTGATAAATGTTGAATAGTATGCTATTAATAATTCAGTAGCTTTTACTTTGTTCTAAATTCTATAAAATAAAAAGAAAATTACTTCAGGGATGCAATTAGCAAATTATTTCAATGCACTAATAATTATTAAGTCTTTTAGCTGAGGCTTTTTCTGTGTAAAGATAATTCTGCAATTATCCAGAAGATGGCGTATATAGGCCAGTTATGGAAACGCCAGTAGCAAAAAGGGAAAACTAAGGAAGGACCTTTACTAGCACTATTTCAAAATAAAGCTTCTTGTAAAGATATATATCTTGATGTGGTCAGTGAAGAGAAGAGGTTTTCTTTCTTAAGACATAGCCCTTCTCAACAGCATCAAGTGAGAAAAACACCCTTTAATGACTATACGGAAGTACTGAGAAAAAGGAATGTGAGAAGAGTAATGACAATCTTAAGCAGGTATTTATGGTATGTTTTTTGGATTAGGCTATGTTCATTACAAAAAAATATTTCCACTTCTCCACTTTGTTTGTTTCAATGAAGAGACAGTAAGAATGACCAATAGGAAAGAGTTCTATATTTTCTTTTTAGATAGTTGTACTCTGTCTAGCTCGTTTCATTCTGTTACCTTTTCCAAAGGGCTTCATTCAAATGATTTCTAAAAGTATAGGGCATATGAGAGAATCCATTAACACCAGCAAATGACCACTTACAAGCATGAAAAGGGGATTTATGCTCAAAACTGGCCTTGAATATGTAACTTTCCACACGAGTATTTACGTATTCCAAGAGGTATTTTCAGTATTCAAAAATATAAATTCCATAAACAGAGAAGATATGATAATGCTTTAC